GGAGTCTGCGCCCGTCCTCGGCTCCGGGAGGGGCGCCCCGGCCGGGCCCCGCGCTCAGTCCCCGCCCACCCCGGCTTCCCGGCGGAGTCTCGCAAGCGCGCGGCGGAATTTCACTCTTCCTGCGCCCCGGCCCGGTCCTCCCCGGAGCAGAACAAGGTCAGGGCCTTTCTGGAGCGGCCCCGGGGCTGGGGTCCCTCTCCCTAAGTCTGAGTGAGGCCCTCAGTAGCCTCCCCCTCGTTCAAAGTTTCAGAGCAGGAGCCCAGTTCCTCCTCCGTTCGATCCCCGAGACTGTTGGTGCCGCGCGGGGAATCCGCACCATAACCTGGATGGGGCTCACGGCGCCCTGATCCTCGCCGCCAGGGCAGGTAGCCTGAGTCCTCGGGTAAAATAGGCCGTAAGCCCCCTTCAGACTGCCCCAGAGTCCAAGTGGGCCCCCAATCCCGCCCCAAAATTCTGCAGACATTTTGAGGAAAAGCAAAGCGAGTAAAAGACCAGAGGAGACAGCGCCAGGCTTCTCGGGTTCGTTTTTAAAACCGGGAACGGCGGCTTCAGTCGCCCGAATTTCTTTTCTCAATCGCTCCGCACAGAACATCAATAACTCCAACTAGCGAGGCGGAGGGAAAGGAAGGCGGACAGCCGGCCCGGCCCGGCCCGGAGAGAGGAGGCCAGCGTCACTCCTTTGCAGGACCCGGGGGGCCGCGGGCGCGGGGCACCTGTGCCCAGGGACGGAGCCTTCGCAGACTTCCCAAGGAATTCTTGGGAGGGGCTGGGGATCCCATCCCAGCGGGAGACCCCAGGAAGCCCGCTCTGGAGTCTTGAGGCCCCCGCGGGACAGAGGAGGGGGGACCCCGGGAGACCAGGCCTTCAGAGGCTGGGGTGGCACCGAGGCCTGGACACAGTAATTTGTGCGGAGAAGGGGACCTGTGCCAGCGTGCCACGCTGCAGTAGCGTGCAGACTGGGAACTGAGCCCTGTCACCTCTCCCCTGGCCTGGCAGCCGGGGTGCGGGGCCCCGCGGGAGGCCACACCTCGCCGCCTCCTCCCTCGGAGTCAGCGGATGCCAGCACCTTCGGGCCTGGCGTGGGGTCCTGGGGCCCGGTGGGCCCAGGGACGCCCTTGGTGAGTCCCGAGCTAGCACAGCGCCTCCCGGGCCTCTCCCGCGGCGGGGTGAAGGGGCAGCTGTGAGTCCCCAAGCCGTGAGGGCCCCACCGAGGCGGGACTGGGTTTGTTCGTCCTCAACCTCCGGGCCCGGCCTCGGGTGCGGGCGCCTGGCCCGCGGTCGCGGTCCGCTTCGTGCGCCCCGAGCGCTGCGGGGTGACCCGCCCTCACCGGGCCACGCAAGTTGAGAGAGAGGCAGAGACTCAGACCGGCCCGCCGGGGACGCCCGCACCCCGATCCGATCCGATTCTGAAGCTGCCGGGGTTCGTGCCCCGGGGGTTTAGGGGACTCCCGGGGCGCAGAGGGCGCCAGGACAGGAGCTCACCCGCCCGTCGCTGCGCTGTGCAGCGCGCGGGCGCCCCGTCTGCGCTTCCGAAGGCGGCACTGCGCTCTGCGTGAGGGACACTGCGTGTGAGATCGCGTCTCACGTTTCTCCAACTCGGTTTTATCTACTAAAACTGCAGTTTTGTTGAGATGCGCCTTGAATGACGGGGGCTGTTACATGCCTGGACCCTCTCTCCTTGGGCCATCGTGATAACACAGCGGCTTGTGGGTTCATTTTCCTCGTGGTTCCTCTTGGGGCTAGGGTAGAGTTTTGATCTTGGGGTGACCCGACAGCCCGGCTCGGAGGGTGCCACCGGCTTCCGCCTGAGGATCTCCCCCTTCCTGGGAACCCCGGCACTGAGGCCCGGGAAGGGGTCGGGATCTCTCACTCTCCCTGAGTCCACCTCCCTCTTCACCCCCATCGCTCTTCTGGAACCCACTCCTCTTCCAAGACAAGACCATAGCCCTGCGGTGCGAGGTTTCTCCCCAAACGCAGCTTCCTGGCCTCTGCAAAGCACTCCTGGGCCACCTCCGAAGGTGCAAATCAGAGAAAAAAGTAGGGGAAAAGAACATTGACGTACAGACTCGCCCGTCGTCCAGTTATGCTTTTCCGAACTGTGCACTGACCACCAGAGGTGACTGTCCCCTGACTGGGGATCACTAAGGCCGCGGATCACTTAGGGTCCCAGACACGCTTCCTACGGCGGGGCGGCGCCGGCGGACGCGAGGGGCCCCCCGAGTTCCGGGAGCGGATTCTGCGTTCTGCGGGGGCGAACCAAGCCCAGGCCGCGGTCCCGGGTCGGGGAAGAGGCACTGCCCCAGCGCCCTGTATCCGCCTCCTGGCCCTTGCGCACAGGCTGGGGCGCCCACTGCGCCTCCAAGGGCAGAGGCAGGGAGGTTACCTTCAAACCCCACTGTGCCTGGCTAGTTGCAACTAGAAATTCAGACTTCTGCTCCTGGAGAAAGAGTGCTAGGAAAGAAAGGAACTAAGAAATCCCCAAGGGGAGGGATAGGAGAGGACGGGCCTTCGTGGAGATCGCTCAGCAGAGGCGGCGGATCCGTGCGTTCTGGGGCTCAGGGTGCGGATCCACGGGGCCCCGCCAGAGTCCCCGCCCTGCCCGTGGGGTCTGAGGGACGGGAAGCTCAGCAGCAAGGCTTTCTTCATGGGGGGGGGGGCTCGGTCCAAATTACCAGCACCAGGACCAGCTTTTCGGACATAACCTCTGCGCGAGTTTACCTAACCGATGGGATGGAGGGCGAGGAGAAATAGGTCATTTTACCCTTTCTGGCCTTTTATTTTATTTTTGTTACGTGAAGGGGTCCTCTGGTGTTACACTTGTTGGTATTTCTGCAGTGTCTTCTTGTCAATTTGAGGGGTGTGAGCTTAAAGGCATTTCTTATTTTACTTTCCTCTTGGTCCAAGTAAGCTTTTTTCTTTCAATCTCTGAAAGCCAGTGAAGATCTTCGGATACTGATCAGCTCTGCGGAAGCGCACCGTGACCCCTTCCCTTGGCTGGCTGCGGCTTTGAAGGGCTGCTTTTTCCGCACCTCTCTCTCCAAACCCTTTCTCGGCGCCTCGCTCGCCTTACAGAGCCGTAGCTGGCTTGCGAGTGTGCGCGCGTGTGCACGCCCGTGTGCGTGTGTGAGCCGTCTTCGGTGACGATCTCAGGTGCATCGCAAGCCCTCAGGCCCTTCCTCGCCATCACTCGCTGACATCTCTTTCCTCGTCAAACTGGGGGCCTGTCTCCCCTCCAGCCGCTGGGTTCGGAGCAGGCTGCTCGGCCGCGCAGGCTGGAATTTTCTCAATTGCCCCAGGCGGCCGGGTCGACGCGCCCGCGCTGCAGATCCCCTCGCGTCCACTAGAGGTCACTGGCCCCTCGCGGCTCGCGGCGCGACTTGCAGCTCTCGCTCCTAGAGCTCAAATTAGCCGCGCGCGCGTTAATTAGCACCCGAGTCCACCGAGGCGCGCTCGTCGGTACAGTACCGCAGCAGGGCTTATATAGACCACTCAAACCCAGCCAAGGCAAGCGTCCCCAAACCCAACACTTCCAGCTTGTCCAAAATGGGAGACGGGAGCCCGAGTGCCCGGGGCAAGGTATAGTGTCTCCGCGCTTTCACTTTGGTGGGGTGGGGCTGGCTGAGTTCTGCGAAGATCAAAGTTCTCGGGCGCCGGCCGGCGGGCTGCGCGGCTCTGCACGCTTGCTCCGGGGCAGCGGGCACCGGCTACACCGTCCCAGGCGCACACGAACATGAGGGCAGAATATTTGTTTAGGGAATGAAGCAAAGGGCATGCCCAAATGTCTTTGAACTTGGCCGAAGAGAGAATGTAAATGGCGACGTTGCTCGAGGTGAAGGCAGAGCAGGAATCGATCCTGCTGATTTTAGGGTGGGGGCGAAGGGAGCCTGAGGTGTCCGGAGAGGTCCCTGCCTCTTGCTCTGTGTGCATTTTTTTTCAGAGCCACTAAGAAATTTTAAGTCTCGGTGTTATTTTACGTTATTTTTCAACCAGATCTCAAAAAGCATTGACGAGTGGGGAGACTGAGTCACGTCTCGGGCTTCAACGCAACGCAATCCGTAGGACAGCGTGCAACGAAGCTCGGCTTTTTCCCGACAGCGCTGCCCCAATTCGTGATATTTGGGGTGGCCGTAACGGGTTCCCTTGGCGTGTGTCCAAGTGCGTGGACGGTGACCTCGGGAGCCCCTCATGCTGGGGGGGGGGGTCTTGGAAATGTTATTTCAGGTTCTGGCAGAGGGGTTTAGAGGGCTCAAGGTCTTTTGCGTTAACGGAAAGCAGGGAGCTTGCAAAGGCGCTCGGGGGCTTCCTAGGAGTTTGGGGCCTGACCTCTCACTACGGGGTCTCTCGTGTGACCCCTAAAGTCTAGCACTTGGGCCTTTGGGGGAACGAGATCTCGCGTGTTAAAACACCTTCGCCCAAACTGCTCCGCGCAGGCCGAAGATGCGCGACGCCCCTCGGAGCGGGAAGGCTTTTCTCGGGTCGCTTTAATGACGACAGATTAATGAAGCCATTGTCTGCCTTCCGGGGAAGGGGACAGCCCGGCCAGGTCCCTCCCGGCGGCGTCCACGTGTCACCCCACGCCACCGCAGCCCCGAGTCCACGCCAGCACCACTCACGGGCGGCGGGGACCGGCGCGAGGCCGCCTGCAGGCTCGGGGCACGTGAGGCCCGCCCCAGTGGGCCCGAGGGACCCCAGGAGCCCGGCGGAGCTTAAGTTACGGGCCTGACAGCGCTTAAGTTACGAGGGAGCCGCCTTCGCGGCGGCCCCTCCGATCCAGCCCCACTTACGCCCGGCCGGCCGGGGAGCAGCGCTGCACCCCACACCCGCTCCGGTCAGCGACTCCCCAGGCTCCTGCAGGCCGCAGCCGCCGACGCGGAACCCGATCTGCGCGCGGGCCCAGGTGTGCGCTCGGCGGGCGTCAGGTAACAGCCCTGGCGGCCCGGCTCTTCCCAAACGGAATTAAGGAGGGCGGGGCTCTCTCTTTTCTTTTCTTTTCCTTCTGACTACATCTGGTGTCAGGTGTACTGGATCTGGCAGCAGGTGTTGTTTGCGGGAAAAGAACCAGCTCGATGGCCACGGAGGTCAGAGTGGCCCGGAGAGCTGCCGGCCACAGCTGGGGACCCGGGGAAAGCCGCACCTGAGGCCGCGGTTCTCCAGCCGCCCTGGCCCGCTGTTTCCTGGCCAAGGCCCTTGGGTAGAAACCGTGGGGTTTCGATTCGAGGACTCTGCCTTTTGTTAGCCTGCCGACCCCGAGATCCTGGCTGGGTGTGAGTTTGGATGCAAAATCGAGATGGAGGTGACCTCCCCTCAGCAGGGTCTCGGAGCTCCTCCTCACTCTGGGTAGTTACCTGCCAGGAACCTGGCTGCCGGCACAGGTCTGCGAAAAGCAGCCCGCGGGAGCGCGCCCCAACCCCTTCTGAGAGGCAGGACCCCGGGGCTCACCGAGGAGAATCGTGAAAACATTTTACCCATGTCTGTAATCTGGAGAAGGGGGGTTCAAACAATGTCAACCTCCAATTTATGAGGCAGGAAGAGAAGAAAATTTCGGAATGGTGACCTCTTCTGCTCCAAACTGTCAGTGACTCCGGACACTGCTTGCAATGCCCAAGGCTGGTCTGAAAGCTTAGAGTGCCAAGGACGAGCAGGGCCGGAAGAGATCAAAGGCTGAATTCGAGGGTGCGGGCTTCATTTTGAAAGATAAAAGAGTAACTTGGAAGAGACCAACTCGAAGTCTAATTTTGAATCTGCTTCTTTAATTTTGAAAGAAGTACTCATTAAAGATGATTTTCAAAAGGTTAAAACCAAACATCAGTAGAGTTATGGCTGTGAATTCAGGACTGTGGCCAGAAGTTAGGAGTCTGTGTGTGGACCCCTGAACTCAGACTATGGAATTCAGACAAAATGTCATACCTGTGAGGAGGAGCACACCACACACGTGAGGATGTGCCTCTCATGGGGTCGCTCCAGGAGCAGGGGTACCTTACTGCCCAAAAGGCTCGTGCTGACCCACCGATGCCCTCTACCTCTGTGTTAACTGCAGCACAACTCCCTGCAAGGCCGACCAAGAAGTGAAAAAAAAAAAAATTAAGTTGTAAGGAATAGCAGGGAGAAGATTAACATTATCAGGGAAAAAATTTTTTGTAAAAGCAAAGTTTAAATGAGCTCATTAAACTATGTCAGAGTGAAAATTGTTTGGTGATGAATTATCCTTGTTTGCCAGGCGGCTGCCAGAGCCACTGATTATCACAGGAGCCCTCAGCAAGAAGAATGGAGAGGCGACCCCCAAACCCCATCCCCTCTCCCCAAACACATGAGTTTCTTCATGAATCCCATGTGCTGGACGGATCCTGTCTCATCTCAAGGGTCAGCCCCGACATGTGGCCGGCTGTTCCTGAGCAGAACTTGGGAATATAACTACATCTTCTTGCCAACAGGACACAATGATTTTGCCCAGAATCACGTCATGTTTTCAAGTCACCTTTCACATCTAATGGTATGGGGCTGGCAAGACCTCATCGCCGAACCAGGTACAGCTGGGGGCTGTGGTCCGGTCCGGTCCCTCCACACGGCTCCACACGTCTGGGCGCAGCTTATTCATTGTTGGGGCATTTGTGGCTAGTTGGTGTCTAATCCAAGCCTTCCGGGAGCATTTCACTAGAAAAGAAAAGAAAATCTCCCAGGTTGGAGATGATTTAAAAGCTGGAAAGAAAATGAAAGAAAGAAGAAAAAGAGAAAAGAAGAGAAAGAAATGCAATTTATGAAGTTTTCTGTGTCAAATATAAAGAAAAGTTTTTGCAAACTGCTGAGGCCTACTTAAACATGGCCCCAAGTTCTTTTGTCCTCCTCTACCTATCAGATAATCGATTACTTTCTTTTATAGGATTTGTTCTGCATTTCAGAGCTGAACTTTACCAAGCTCCCCCTCCCTCCTCCATAGAGCCCAATCCGGGGACCTCATTAGAATGGAACACTGGCCAATAACTGCAAAGAAAGAGGTGCAAATTCTCTTTTAGTGTTCAATAAGCAGGGCAATGTAATTATTATGCAATGGTTAAGTAGTGAAAAGGGGGGAGGTTCTAGCTCCAGCACACTGGAGTGGTACGTGGTGATATAGTGCTAGAGTCTGAAGGCAGCCCGAATACAGATCCCCCATTTCTAAACCTGTGGTTGATCCACTGGACAGAACTCAGCTCCTCCTCCTCGGAAACCCAGCCTCAGACAGTGTGGACACAGGAGAGTGGGGTACGCCTGGTGCCCGGGGTTTGCTCCTGGCCCAGGAACCCACCAGTGCAGGCTGGGCTGGGGTCTTCTTCCTACTTCCTCTCCTTTCATTGCTCTTCCAAAGACTCTTGAGAAACCCACTGGCATTTGTATAACATGGCCCTCATTTGATGTACTTCCTAACCAGCTCCTTCTGCTGAAGGGGAATATCTTTATTTGCCTTCAATTAACCTAGTTTTCCAAGAACAACTTTGCTTGTTCCATTTTCCTTCAAAACTATGGTGAGCAAAAGCTAGCACCGTTTTCTCAGCCTCAGTTTGGAATAAGATTTAGCAAGTCCGTGGATCCTGAAACGTGCCAAATGTTCAGCACTGTAATGTTCAGGGATTCTTTATGCCCCCGGATAGGCTTATAACCGCACAGCAATAATAATCCTTTAACCAGGTGTACAGAGTCGTGGTTCACCAGATCGTCTTGTGGTCTCCCTGGAGTGGAAGAAAGGAGAGAGTTTCTATGACATCATTGCTATTATTTAAACTGAACTGCTATGGGAGAATATTATTGTTAATAAAAGCCTTCTGCTCCACGCCCCTCTTACCTCCCCCTGGCATTTCATGACGCGCCTTTCACGATGAAAGCCACAGAATGATGCCCAGCCTAGTGGCCTCCAGTGTGACCACCACCTTGTCGCAGGTACAAGTCAGGGAGGAAACGCAGAGGAAAACGAATACGGAGAGGGAGAGTTGTTTGAGAAAAAAGTACGTTAGCAAGCTTAGCTGTCGATGTGCTTTTTCTTTTTATGAAGGTGTGTGTGTGCACGTAGTGTTTTACAAACGGGCCGTGTGCACCCCGAGTAGGACCCCCATATTTGTACACTGCGAGCTGTCGTGGAGTCGTGCCTTGGGGCTGGTCTAATGCAGTTAACAGAACTAAAGGGTTCTCTGTGTCGAAAAGCATGCACCTCTTTTAATCCCATCACGTACTGAAGCAATTTTGGGACTGAGGGTTCTACCTTTATCCAGCGTGGATGTTCTTGTTCAAGAAAACCATGCCAACTACTTGGAGTTCCTGACCGTTGCTAACATCTTCCCCTCTTTTCTCTGCTGTTGCTGCTTTCAAATTTATTGTAAAGCCTGTTTTCGTCTCACTTAACCCAAACAATCCTCGCTCCATAGAAACCCAACTGAAATGACCAGGTGAGCTCTGGCCTGTGTCTTTACTTCAAAGATGCATCATCTCACATTCAGGGTGAGATAGAATTGGTGATGTTCCAAGCTTCAGGAGAGCGAAGCTACTTTTTCCTGCCGGATTTTACCTTCGTTCTGGCCTGGAGCGTGCGCGCTGTGCGCGGATCCACACGCGCGCGTGCCCAATCACACACACACACGCACACACACACGCACACACACACACAGCACAGACAAGCCGAGCCGAGGGGATGCTCCCTTACGGACTCAGGCTGCACCCGGGCGTCGGGGAAGCCGTCGCCGGAGCCAGGGCTGTGGCTAAGGTGGGCGTCCTCGCCCGCGCGGCTTCGGAGAGGCAGGAGAGAGGACCGCCCGCCGGGCTCCCGCCGGGAAACCAAAGTTCGGGGAGCTCCGAGCCCCAGACGGCCCCGGGTCGGGGCGCTGCCCTCGCTCTCGGAGCTCGCGCGTGGAACGGCCGCAGCGCGGGCTTTTGTAGCGCCCCGCCCGAGCTGACGCACCGCTCCCCCGGGACGCTGGGGGCGTCGCGCTGCCGCGGGTGGGGAGCGAGAGGCTCGGGCCGTCCTGTCCCAGCCCGTCCGCGGCCACGCCACCCCGCCCTCCCCCGCGTCGCCTCCGCCTCCTCTCCTGCCGCGCGCTCCCCGCCGATTCTCCACCTCCTCGGCGTCCCCGGTCCCCGCTCTCCCGCTCTCCGCCCTCCGCCCTCCTGGCGCCTCCCCTCTCTCTCTCTCCTCTGAATAAGCAAGCTTTCGCCTCTAAAAGTCACAAGTAATGTGAGACAGAGAGGGAGAGGGAAGGGGGGGAGAGGGAGGGGGAGAGAGAGAGGGAGAGAGAGGGAGAGAGAGGGAGAGAGAGAGAGAGACAGAGAGAGAGAGATTGCCGAGGATCGGAAGACGGGAGGCAAATCTGGCACAACCCCTGGGGAAGAAACTCGACGCTCCGCCACCACTGAGGTGAGTACGCTGCCCCCGGCGTTTGCTCCGCACCTGAGGGTCCAGCCCAGAGCCCAGAGCCCCGCGCTGGAGCAATCGTGAACCCGGGTTGGGGTGCGGTGGGGTTGACTCCAGCCCGCGGGTCCGGCCCGAGAGGATGCTCCGCTCCCGGAAGCGCGGACCTCGCTCACGCCGGGCACCTTGCGCCCAGCCGGGTTCCGAACCCGCGGCCACGGAGGCCGCCCGCGGAGCCCCGCTTCCCTCCCGCGCGCTGAGGGCCCCTGCCCTCCGCCGACTGTGGCCGCGCGCCGCCGCGCAAAGGGAAAGTTTGGCCAGGTGGGGGTCGCGCAGCTTCGCCGTCCCCTGGATCCTAAACCGGGAACCTCAGCTTGGCAAAAAATTGATAGCTTTCTCCTTTTCCTTAAAAAAATGACTTTAACGAAAAATTGTATGTAGTCCAAAAGATTATTGGATTACCATGTCTGATCAGCTGCTGCTGACCTACCAATAAGCGTTTTAAACACACACGCACACCCACGCGCCCCCCTCCCGCACGCGCACACACACACCCGGGGGGCTGTGTGCGGAGCCTGAGGCCGGCAGAAGTTCCCGGGGATTCGCGGGAGTCGCAGGGGTTCTTAAGTGTGAGAAGACTGCGTGCGCGCCCGCCGTGTGCACGGAGAGCGAGCGCGGGGCGGGGGGGGGGGCGGCTGGGCGTTTTCTGCGTGTGCGCGCGCGCGTGTGTTCCGTGTGTTGTCAGCTGGCTCTGGTCTCTAAGCGCTGAGCGTTGCCAAAGGCGGGGGCCAGCATCCAGCATCCACCTCGGCACCCTAGTGGCGAAACAGGATTCATTTGTTTGCTGGAGCGCGGTGGCGACCTAGGAGAGACTGGAGTGCGGTTGGGTCTGCCCCTGCCCGCCGCCGTTGCACCTGGAGCAGATGGCTCAAGGTGTAGAATGGTTTTGTTTGTCCGGATCCAGGAGGGGGGAGGGGGAAGCGTGAGCCTCGCCCCACTCCAGAGAAGTACCCTAAAGAGCCAGGGACACTAAAGAAGCCACGTTCCTGTTATGGAAAGCAGTAGCGCTGCCGCCATCCGCGTGTGAACTTGACCTCGGGGGTGACCTCCTCGGTGTCTGGTCCCGGTGAGGACGCGGTAGGATGTGAGGGCCAATAGTTTTCAAATGCATGTTTGATGAAATGCCTTCTCTTCACACACGCGCGCACTCACACACACACACGCACACACACACACACGCACGCACACACATCTGTCTCCACAGAGGCGCACACAGGTGTCGTTGGAGCTCCAGTGCCTGGCGCCAAATGTCATAGCCCGGGCTGACGCCGGAAAACTGAAAGGCGGTGCGGTGCACCGGAGGCTCCTGTCCTCTCCCCAAGAGCCCCCAGGGATCGGCCTGCGGCTCCACGCTCCCTCCCCAGAGAGCCACCCAGCCTGGCTTCGCAGGCCCCAAATGTATCCTTCTCCTCCTCACGTACAGGGATGAGCCCTTCAGATCCATATCCCTGTCCCTGCACCCTACCTTCCTTCCAACTCAACTCAACAGGCATTGGAGGAAGTGTGCACACTCTCCCCAGGGAGCCCACAGGAGCTAGGTGTGACAAAGCCCGGGTAAGGACAGTTCAGCCTGGTCTAGTTCTATGGTTCTCTCAATATGTAAGAGAAATCAAAAGGGAAACATATCAAAGGACTCCTAAACAGACTGGAAAGCCTTGTTCCCCCCCTTCGTATGCATAATTATAATACCCACATAGAGCCTACTTATATTCTGTTTTAATATATAGATTATATATTCATATTTCTTGTGAAATATGGAGCAATTTTACTGATCTAATTTTCTGTTCTAATTCAAGAAACATGCCCTCAACTAGGCCTTAATACTATGTTAATATTTGGGGAGTGATTAGTACGCAAAGAAATTCCACCATTTTTTGACACCTAAATTCTATTTTTTTCTATTCTTTAATGTCAAATGCCAAATCGACAACTTTTAGAGTGAAATCGCAGACAATCAAATAAGAACCCATTCTAGCTAAGATTTTGGAGTCACAGATGAAGATACATCCTAAAAACCTAACAGGAAAGGAAAAAAAATTAACCCCTGTGTTTTTCAAGGGGCTTTTAATACCAAAAACCCCTTTGGATGAAAGGTGCTTGTTGCGTGTCCAGGGTAATTTAGTTTTTCTGCAATCATTTTCCTTTCCTATGAAGGTTTCATTTTTCTTGGAGAAAGTTGACTTTGATATGCAGTAGGGTGCAGGATTCATTGAGATAGATGCCATTAGAGTGCCCTATTTTATCTATTACTAATAATATGGCTTTATTCATGCATTGTACAAGTGAATCCATCCATTATTAAAACATATTTGATTGACTGCAGGAAAGTTTTTTAAAATACAGGAAAAAATACATACAAAACTGAGTTGAAGAGCAGATTTCTTGAGCAGTTAGGTACTTTTAAAAAAATAATAAAAGGGGAAGATAATTTATCTAAAACTCCTGGTTTAAGGACATTAAGAGCTTCCAACTTCATTTAAATAAAACAGAATTAGCAAACCTTTGCAGTTGCTGAGAGGGAAGACAAAAATCAGCCCCAACAAAGCTCGTTCAAAACACTTCAGATCCTAGTTGCAATCAGTCTCTAAAGCCAAGGAAAATAATTTCCAAGATAAACTCTTGAACTCTGAGTGAAAAGTTTTTATGTTTTTAATTCTGGTGCTTTTTAATGGCCATTTTAAATGGAAATCTCTAGGCTGCAGACTGGTTCAAATACCCCAATCGTTTGAGGGGATGGAACATATTTTGATATTTGAGCAAACTGGTATGAGTCACACCCAGTCAGGTTTCTGAGGCCCATGTGGAGCCTTAGCCTCAGAAGTTGGCACAGGGAAAGGATGGATTTAGGGGTGAGGGGCAGCTGAGTTCCCCCTTCTCCATCTGCTGCTAGGACCGTCGATATCACATTTTCTTTTCATACGAGTTGGCTATAAAAGAATTGTTTTTACAGAAAGGACTCATGAGACAAAGTAACTTTGGAATACACGACTTGGCTTTTCCATCCTCATCCTTTGTCAGGCCTTGCCGATCCCTGGCACGCTCGTCTTTCCCAACAGGAACTAACCCCCAAGGCATAGGATATATACATGTCATACATACGCACACACATTTATCAAAGTGTAGTTGACATACATATCCTTTGACATACATGCCTTAAACACTATGTATACTGTTAGCTCTCAAAAATATCCGCAGCACTCCAAATGTGCCTTTACCTCAAGATTAAGTTTTTTAAGCCTTAATTCTTAAGGAAGAGTCCAAATCTTAACCTCCGGCGGGGAGATCGCAGAGGGTGCCCCCGGCATTTGCAGACAGCTTTGCCCCCAGTGCTGAGGTTGGGGTGGTGGTGTAGAGGCCTGGGGGCGAACTCAAGCCCATCAGAGTTCCACCTCCGCCTGCGTCTCATAAAACCAAGGGACCGAGATCAAGGGCGTCTTCGGGTGCCGTCACCCCAAGCATGGACCCTCGTTCATGGGGGGGGGGGTTCATGTTGTGCATGCATGCGCACGGTCTTGGTGCGGTCCCTTAGAGGACTCTAGAAGCTGTGGCTCTGCCCTCCCCGGGGCAAGCAAACCTAGTGAGCTCCCGAGGGTCCTGGTCTCAGGTTCTCACCGCCTCCGGAGGCCGCACGGAGGCAGGGACTGCAGCTCCGGGACGCCCCGACGGCTCAGGCGCGGCGCCCGCGTGGCCAGTAGGTGTCGCTGTTTCCTCGCCGGCGGGAGCGGGGAGCCTCGCAAGGGCCCCTAGCGCCATTCATCCTGGGCGCCCGCCCGCCCCCACCCCCACCCCCGGAGCTCGAGGGCGGGGGTCCTTTGCACCTCTGCCCCTTCCCGGACCCGAGCCTTCGCTCACCTGGCCGGGACCGCGGCGGCCAGTGGTCAGCTCAAGGGAGCTCCTTCGGGCACAGAAAGGGGAGATGGATTGGCTGGGGCGCAGCTCGAGGCCCCGACGGAAGGGCTGCTTAAGCTTTTCCAGCTCTAGGCCCTTTCTGCCCCGGAGCCCCGGCGTGGGGTGCTGAGCGCATCAGGAAGTCAGAGGTAGAAATCCTAGCTTCGTGGGAGCTAGTCACAGAAAGAATGGATTGATTTCAGTAATCAGGAAGGAATGGAGAAAGGAAGGGAGGAAGGAAGAGAGGGAGGGAGGAAGGAAGGAAGGAAAAGCACGCAACCTGGGCCTGCACTCACGCATGCATAAGCTACATACCAGCTCGCGCAAGCAGAAATTCACGGTAATCGGCATTGTCGCCCCCTCCCCCGGCCTAAGAAAGGAGTCAATATTTGGGATGTGGCTGTCTTTCCCCAAGTAGTAATCCTCTTGGGAACCTCGCCGGTCGCACGCAAGTCTCTGGAATCTGTGTCGCACGCCAGGCCCTGAGAATTCCGCGCCCTCCCTGGCGTCCTGGGGCTGCCTGCCTCGGCCTCAGGGTGCCGCGTGAGAGATTATTAATCAGAGGCGTCTTTTTGTGTGCGCGATGCAAAAGGACGGCGCTCGGCTTATGGATCCCGGGGACATTTACAGTGGGTACACCCTACAGGGGACTGGAGATTTTATGATGATTCGGATTGTTCTGTACGAAGGAATCAAAGCTCTGGTGAGAAGATGGGAGAGGGAAAATGGCCCTGAATGCACTAAACGCGAAACCTGTTACTGAACGAGCTAGCATGCAAAATGGAACCGGCTGTGCATTTAAATTAACGTTTGAAACCCTATCATGAGTCACAATTTTGCAGTGCTTTTTAAAAAACCACACTGTCTCAATTTTTGGTAACAAGTAATCAATTTGTGAAGAGGAAAAAAACGAAACAAAGGAAAGCCAAGATCTCATTCCAAGTCCAGAGTGTACCGGGATAGGCTGTGGCCTGGCCCCTGGGCCGCCTTCGCAGCGCCGTGACTTGCAGTGCAGGGCTGGCCACGGGGCTGAGTGCTTAAGGCAAGCCTTGATTTTTAAGGTGAGGTGGCCAGCATCGTCTTGCCATGGCCCTTTGCTAAGTTGCATAAAAACTAGCTCCTTTCTGTAAAGTCCCGTGTCTGTTACACAACCCTAAATCATCATTTCCAATCGAGACGACATAATAACCAGTGGAAGACGGGCGTAAGGGCACTTCTACTTGGGGTTGTGAAGTTCAGAGAGCTGAGATGTTTTAGCTTGAAAAGCCTAGTTCAGATACTTGGGTATGTCTCCCCTCCGCCGGTTTCGCCACCTCGTCCTGGCCGGCGTTACTCTCTTTCCCTCGACCCTTCGGGCTCCCTGCCTCGCCGACCTTGCCCCTATCTCCCCTCTCCAGCGCGTCTCCCCCTTTCCTCTCCCGCAGTGTCTTCTCCTCCTCTTTCTCCCTCTCTCCTCTAATTTATTGTCTGATTCTATCCATCAAGTTAATGGAAAAGTAGCGAGTGGGAGGCCCAGCACCCCTGTCTGACTCGGTCCCCCGCGCGCGCGCAGGGCGCTTTGGGGAGGTGTCGGTCGCTGCCCCGTGCCCAGCCTAAGCGGTGGCCCTGGGCGCAGGGCGCACGGCCTGCGGAGGAGTTGGGGTCTGCGCGGGGTTGCGGGGCTTATTCAAACATCGCCCGCTGCTGCTGTGATTCGCAGGGACTCGGCGTCCTTATGGTAATGCGGGACGGGGGAGGGGGAGGCGCGGAGAGGAGGGAGGAGAGGAGAGGAGAGGAGAGGAGAGGAGAGGAGAGGAGAGCAGAGGAGAGGGTGACGGCGGGTGGGAGGGGGCTCCGGCACCACGCGCTGGGCGGCCGGGCTGGGACAGAGCGCCTGGACCCGCGGCGGCGGCGGCAGCGGCGCTCCCCACCCTCTGCCTCGACACCCGGCCGGCGAGCCAGCGAGCTGAGGGCCCCCGGGGTAAGCCATAGCGCGCTCGGCGAAGCCGGGGACCTCGTGCACGCTTCGGGTTCCTACCATGCGCCAATAAGGGAGATTAGAAACGGAAAAGGAGATTACGGAGAGATCAGAGACGAGAGGTGTGCCTCTCCGCGTCCCTTGGCACACCGCGCGCGCGCGCGCGCTCGCATCTGGACACACATACGTGCCCAGACAGCCGTACACGCACCCACTCGTGCTACTGCCATCCGACCTCACGCACCGGCGCCCCAGCTATGCGTGAGTCCAGGCAGGAATGGACAGCCACGCACGATTTCCCCGCAGCCGAACTCCGAGGGAGATGTGGCCCATTTCACTCAGCCAGGTCCCCCACCCCCACCCCCACCCCCACCCCAAACAGGCGTCTTCGACCAGTTGCGGAATCCTGCAATTATTCACAAAGCGTGCTGAAAATGTACTTTAGGAAGCGTAATCTTGCTATATATGGCAAGGTAAGGGCGAGCCTGGAGGATGAGTGTTTCCATTTTTTAATGTTTTACGTGTAGCCATCTGACCACTTTTTATTGGGTAGCATATCATATGAGCACTTTGGTGTAGGCTTGGAACATCTACAGCTGGAGGTAAGGCTGGAAATGCCATAAGATTTAAGGGTGCTAAAAATGGATGCTGAAGAGCCTGGGAAGAGAGGGCACGCGGCAGTGGGTTTGAAAGGGGGAGGCACACATGAACATTAGGACACGAAAGCCATGGGTGGGCTGTCTTGCCGGGTATTCCTGCAGGTAAGTCCTTCGGGTGAAAACTAATTACCTGTGCCTGTCCTTGGACTTGTTTAGTCGAATAAGCTGCATGTGTGCCTATTTTCTGTTCTTTGTGGCTAAGCAATTATGGAGCAACTGCTTTTAAAATGGTAGCTTTGGAGATATTTTAAAAGTAGAATAGATACAGATATCTATGCATCTCTCTATATGTCCTTTTCGTGCTGAATAACTAAATTGCCAGGAAGGAAAACCCAATCCTATTAAAGAAAAAAAAAAAAAAAAAAAAAAGAATCACCGTTGCTTGAAATCCAACTCAAGGCCTGTATATTTTAGCGCACCTCGGCTGGCTTAATATAGTCAACTGTTTTGTTTGTGTATTTGTTTTCATTTCAAAGCCAGGAATTAAGAGAGGATTTCAATCCAGATAATGTATTTCCTCCCATATTAAGATAAAATGAGACTCAGTACATTTTGAACGCAGCAGATACAGTACCACATACAACATGGTTGAAAATGTCCTCCTCGCAGAAGGCTGTCGATTGCTGTGTCTACACATTTTAAAATATATATATATTTTGCAATAAGAAATGCTAAAAAGCAATAGACAATGAATGCTGCATCTCTCGGCTAATCAGCACAAAAATTCCTTAGAAATCTTTGGAATCACTTCCCTTATACCTGCAGTATCTCAAATGCACTAGCCTCCAACTGTGTTTCTGGTATTATGAAGTTAATTAAGCAATCCAACTTTGAACCTTGAACGATGGGCCGTATTAGTCAATGGAGGGTTATGTCAGGGAAGGGGGAAAAAATGTGTCTTTTCTTTTATGACCAAACTAAGATGTTATATAGCTAGCACTACATACATGCAGATGTGCATATTTGTAACCTTAAATAAACAGAAGCAGGGAGACAATTGTGTATATTATCGAGCGAAAAAGACAGTAGCAGACACTCGCCAAAAAAAAAAAAAGAAAAAAAGAAAAGGACAACAGAGACAATATAATAAAATAGCCAAAAGGGGGGAGGGAAATCAATAAAGCGATAAAACCTGAAATTTTCAAGAATTAAAAATGCAAATATATCTTTACATATGCATCAGTATTTAAAATAATACACTCTGGAACCAACAGTAGTGGGGAGCAGGAAGAGGAGGAGGAAGGGAACGGGAGGAGGAGGGGGAGGAGGAGGAGGAGGAAGAGGAGGAGGAGCAGGAGGAGCAGGAGGAAGAGGAGGGAAGAATGGAGGCGCCGCGGAGCCCTGATTCTGCATGGGCTGAGCTGCCTCTCTAACCTGTTCTTCTCCGAGCCCGGCAGCCGGCGGTCCTCAGCCGCCCACAGAACAGCAGCAGAAACAACTGTTCCCGAAGGCTACAGCGTTTATTTTTCTCTTTTAGGGGGTTTTGGCGGTTGTTTCAGGGGCTCGCCAACTGGCCTCTTTAATTAAAACCTTCAATAAAAGGCGATCGCGCCAAGAATGCTCCCGCTCCTCTCCGCTCAGGATTTGCATATTTTTTTAATGCCCTAATTTCCTTGATGTATGTAAATGTAGCCGGACGTAGAGGGAGACAGGGAGCTGACGTCAATGGACGTGACCTCGCAGCTAAACCTTGAACGTGAAGCCGGGATGGGGGAAAACACGGAGCGGCCGCCGCGGAGCCCGCCAGTCTGCGCGAGCTGGTGCAGCCGGCCGGCCCAGGCGAGGTGCAGGCGCCGGTGCAGCCCCGGGGAAGCACAAGGCGCGCCTTCTGCAGCCCGCCCCGCGAGCGGATTGTCGTCCTGGCCTCCAGCCGCACCAAATACAAGTTCTTTTGCTTCCCCCAGGAAGTCACACCCCAAAACCACAAAACGGAAACAACAGCTAACATACCGAACGCACCCCTAAGTCTTGTAGAACACTGCTCGGTAGCTTATCAGAAAGAAGACTGACAATGGAACAGGTTTTCGTTTTTGGTTTTGATTCCCCCCCCTGCCCTTTGGGCTTCTCTCTGCAAGAAGGGGAGGGGAAAACCACAAAGAACAGCATATCATTGCTAAAACACGATAAGCTCCACATATTCCCAGTAGGAAGAGGCAAATTGTGCTTCCGACAGGTGAGGGCTGCTCCCCTGTACCTATTTACCTGTGCACTCATTATGCGCGTCGGCTTCGTGAACAACAGTGCCGGGAGCGCGCGTTTTAATGTGATGGGAGTGCCGTGTGAGTGTGTGCGCGCGCGCTAGTAGGTGCTCGGGCTGAGGAGCCCCGAGGCTGGCGCTGCGAGTGAGAGGAGAGATCAGCATCTTTCCGAGATCGGGTCTGGGGCTTATCTTTGGAGCCCTGTAGGCCAAGGCTCGTATGCAGGGGTTCGAGTTTTTCCCGCTGAGAGAGGAGGCCGGGAAAGGCTTGCTGGAACAGGCCAGCCTTCCGACTGCATTGTCTGTGGAAAGGGAGCGGAGGCTCCAGCCGTGCCGGGTTCGGCCTGGGTCCCCTATCGCGGGGTGCAGGGGGGCTTTGCGCCGGGCCGGCGTGTGCGTGCCCGCACCGGGCGGGGACCGGCACCTCCGTGCACACTCGCCCCTCCCGGGCGGCCGGCGATCCGCCCCTCGCCTCTCGGCGCAGGAAAGCCAGGGGCGCCCGGGGCCGCCACGCTGGTCCCCCGGCCCTGCGCCGGGCCGCCTGGGCCGTGGTTTTCCGCGCTGCACCTCGCAGCCGCAGCTTTGTTTTCCTGCCATGCCAGCGGCCACCGGGTCCCACGCCGATGACGGGCGCGTGTGCGTGTGCGTGTGCGCGTGCGTGGGGCGGGTGGCGGGCGCGCGCGGCGGATGGGCGGGGACCCTGGCGCCAAGGACACGCATGGCTGTCTGTCCTCCGGCTGCACTTGGCGGGAAAGCGGGGCCGCCGCGCTCCTCCCCGCCTCCCGGCTCCCCGCGGGCTGCGTTTACAGACGGGCGGCTCGTCTGAATTTGTACATCTCCCAGCGCCGGCCCCGCGCTTCCCCTTGTCCCCAGGCGCACGCGCGCAGGCTCGGAAGAGCCTCCTGAGCGCGCAGACCCCCGCGCGCGGGCAGCGGCCGGCCGGGGGCGCGCGGCCAGGCCCGGGGACGCGCAGGCTCGGCGCGAGGATTCCTGCACCGCCCCCCCCCCCCCCCCCCCGAGCTGCACCCCGACAGCCTCCAGCTCGCGCTGCAGAAGCCCACCTTCCAGAGACCCCGGCCCTTCCCTCCCCGCGCACCCCCACCTCCTCCCGCCCTCAGCTGTGTCTCTCCCTGGAAACACACACACACACACACACACACACGCACACGCACACACACGCACACACACACACGCACACGCACACACACGCACACACACACACGCGCGCACACACGCTTTTTCTTCCTCCTCAAATAGATAACCCCTATGGCGCGTCCCTGGTACCTTTTGAATAGCACTGGAGTTTAGAGAATAAAAATCCTTATAATGTATGGCTTGTCTTTAGCCAAACATTTAAGCACATAAAGGGGTGGGTGAGAGGAAGGGGGACTTGAACTAAGAGACCTTTCTTTAAAAAAAAAGAAAGTCTGCAAGTCGAAAGGTCATTCTGTAAGTTTGTAAATACAATTGCAAAGGGAGTCCTTAAAAAAGAAAGAAGTGCCAAGAAGGAAGAGAAGGTAGAAAGGCCCACAAGTTCCATAAAATAATGCATTGGCAAGGCAAGGCAGGCTGATTCTTTTAATCGTGTGTCTTGAGAAGCCAAGTTATTGGCGGGGGGGGCGGCTGGAGAGGAGAAAAAAAGAGAAAAAGAAAAGGGGAGAGGAAAATAAAAGGTAGAGAAGGCAAAAGAAGTTTGCAAAGAAATGTGTGCTTTGCGTCCTACAATAGGAAAATGTAGCCATTGCCCTGCTCCAGACGAGACATTTCTAATTTGTTCCGTCTGTCAGGAGGGGACTAAGAGGTTTGGCTGTAAATTCATTATCTCTGGCAACGCAGAACGTAGTGTGGGGACTGAAAAAGACCGTGGCAATGGATGAACAATAGGGCTTCAGTTCATCAGTAACAAAAGCAGTGGGGAAATTGGTTGAGTTTCAGAGCACGTCCTCCTCGGCAGAGGGGGCTGGACTAGACCTTGGACAGCCCCCCCAAAAACTTGCTGAGCCTTGCACAGAGCGCTTCACTCTCCACTGCGAGCCTTAGGGAGCAAGTGCCCGCGTGGGGGGGGAAAGTTGGCTTTTTTTCCTCCTCGGTCTTTTGCGCCCTGCTCTCTCTCTTCCCACAGGGGAAGACCCGTTTAAACTATTTTAGACGCAATCAAGCAAGAATCACCATGTGGAATTGAGCGGCAGTTTTAAATGTGCGAAGGAGAGGAATGATCAGAAAAAATTTTTTGTTTTTTTTGTTTTGTTTTTTTTTGTTTTTGTTTTTGTTTTTGGAGACGCCTAAAGGATCCTGTGTGTGCTGCCGCCGCTCTGGGACTGGATCTTGTCTCTTCTGGTTGGAGCGCCTCGATTCCTGGCCTGCTGGATTTGGGGGGCTGCACTGCCTGGCGCTGGGAGATCAAGTGAGTATCTGGGCGGCCCGCACTGCCCGCCGCGCCCCGCGCTCTGCGCCTCGCCTCAGAGCCCACCGCGGGCCGCTCCGAGCGCCAGTCCGGGCTTTGCTACAGCTAATTGATTGTGTGCCTCGGATGCCAAACCTGTTGATCTCGGGAGTTGTCTGAGCCTGGACTATTAATTATCCACCGGCCGGATCCCCCAGTCGCAGAAAGAGGCCAGGAAAATTTCGCTTTGGAGAAGGGAATTTCGTATAGGGTTTTGTGTTGTTGGTGGTGGGACTTTTCCTTCTTAAATCTACGGCTAAATACAGTGGTCTTTTGCGTCCCTGGTTTCCGGATTCGCATTTTGAATAATTCACCTCCTTTAACCTCTCAAAGTTGCAATTTCGTCCCAAGGAAGCGAGGGTCTGAGTGGATCCTGTTAGAAACTTCTGTAAGGGATCTAAGTAGAGCTGGTGGGTCTCCGCTTCCCTTTTCTTTGCCTTTTGGATTTGGAGAGGCGAGAGGCTGTTGTGCAGGGTTATCCCAAGTTTAGCTTCGTCTACAGGCACCCTTCGCGGTGAGTTACTGGGACTTGGGCCGGGTCAGCTCCAGGAGCTGCTGGGGTCGGAGCAGAACCTGGGCTTAGCGGTCTGCTCGGAGCCCAGACCCGGCCGGGGAAGGCGAGACCTTTCGGTGGCCTGGACTTCACCGCGGGAGCCCAGGCCTTGGGGAACCCACGCGACGATACATTTGTGTTAGGGTCTGAGGCGTTTTCTCTTGCAAATGTGCCCGCAGCGTCTGAATGGGGACCGTCCGGCGGGGTCAGAGCCGCCGTGGACCTGGTCAGAAGTTAGACCGAAGGCCTGTCAAGTCACGGCCACGGCCGGGGCCCACATGCACTCCGCCCTGTCTTGGTGCCCGCAGCTGCCTGCCAGGCCACCTTCCTCCTCCGCCTTGGCAGCAGTAATTAGGGCGCTGTCTCGGGACGAGCTACCATAGTCAGCATAATTGAACCCGTGCAGTACTTTCATTTTGCAAAAGCAGTAGCCCCACCCCACCAGTCCATAATAACAAGAAGCATAAAAAATCATAAAAGAAAAGCAACCTATTTTCAGGAGTGTAAGACTTCCTGAATATTGGATCGTGGAGGGATGGGGGAAGGGAATAAAAAATCCACCACTTTACAGCAATCAGGTTTTACATTATTCATTGATTTACTGGAGGAGCGAGCCAATCAGGAGCCATAGACATGAATGCACATCTCACCGTGCTGTGGCCTTACAGTAAACTATTTGCATCTTTCTAATGGATTAGACATTTATCCAGGGATTCCCATTGTTTGAAAGGCCTGCAAATCCAGTCTCTTAAACATTTAGAAAATAAGACTTTGTTCCTAAAATCCTTACGTGGAAGGACTCTCACTCCTCTTTTGTATGGCAGGTTACAAGGTTCAAACCCCTAATGTTTCTTAAGTCCCTCTCCTTTGCAAGCTAAAAATAAAAGAAAAGGAGAAAGAAAAATTAATTTTCCAAGCCTCTCCAGATTCTGCATATTTTGCATTTCTATTATTATGCATGTCTCCATTTAAATGCAAATTAGCATATTTAACCCTGTGGGTGCTGGAGCTCAGGAAATGCTCAACTGGGGTTTAGGGAGCCTCTTAGCATTTTAAGGATTCCTAGTAATTGCAATACTTTAAATGAAGCCATACCTAGATATGATTTTGTGTATATATGTATATATATAAACTGTGATCATTTGTTTTCTTGACTATTTTTCAGATGAGACTGCACAGAAGCATAAAATGAATAGACTGTCCATCCAACCAAAGGTAATTTCATAATTTACGTTTTATGAAATCAAAGTGCTGTACAATCACAGTCGAGTATTATTTACTGGATGCTGGGCCTGCAGTGTGTTGTGTATCTCCCAATGGAGTAGATATCATTCCAGAAAATTTTAAGTTTCTGTATGTCCAGTATTTTGCCTTTTAAGGAGTCTTTGTGTCTAATATATATCAAACATAACACCAGCATAACCTACAACTGCCTATAAAAAGGAAATTTGGGACACAGAAGAGATAATAGGATACTTTTATTAGAAAGTATGCTAGTCAAGTACCTCACCTGCACTGTACAGTTGCTATAAATTAAGTGGCTTTCATAGAGGAAATGGTTGTCTTGACTGTGTTAGTGGACTGTGGTTAACATACATGGGAATCACATCAACTAAATATTAAAAAGGGAATTTGGTGGTAGGCCAATTCTTTATGGACTCTGCAGTAATGTGAATAGGGTTTGGAGATGTTCTAAATATTGGTAGCAAACCTGGTGGATTTGAATTTATGGAATCATATATTTCTGATCCAAATATGTAGAAAATCATAACTTTTTACTTTTAACTTCACCAGACCTTATTATTCCCAAGCAAACCAGGATGTTTCCATTCATGTTTTATCCATCTGGAGACCTATAAAAAGATTAGAAAACAAGCATGACAATCACGTCCTAATCTACTAGCTATTAATAGGAATTTTTTAGAGAATGAGCAGGAAAGCCATTTGAATTCAGTGTGTCCTTCAGTATGCAAATTCTAAGGCAGCATTCTGTCGCTCAGCTAAATAGCTTTCTGAAAGCAAAAATATGTGATTTGAGAACATGTAGGTACAAAGAATTGCTCTTAATGTTCCACAGACATTGGTAGGCATATGCAGAGCTGCACAATTGTTTTAACTTGTCTCACATTCTACACAATAACATAATCCTTAAAAGATATGTATATGATAAATTAAGATATAAACCTTGGCAATACTTGGAATAAACAGGTGCTCACTGTTAAGCTTTGCTCTGTATGTTTTAATTTTTCATATCCTGAGAGACGACAGAGAAATAAAATATTTGATTGGCTATGTGACTAATGAACAGACTGCCCATAGTCACCATGTGGGTTCATTCCACTTACTGGTGCTCTCATGATGGCATGTGTGCCAGGTTTGAAGCCAGTCCTAGAGTAAGTTATTTGTGTGGTGTTGCCTTAAGAAGATGCTGTTTTAAGACAGTATCTTTAGTTTCTAATTGTAGGACCATCTCAAATATTCTTGAATTCTAAAAATGCATTTAATTGTCGAGTGTGGAATAGAACCATAATAATTTGAAAATTTACATAAATATGGAGTTAATATACACAGACATATATACATCACAGTTCTCTCTCTACTGTCAGTATCCTCTCCCAAGTACATATAAAGCAAAGAGACATTCTAAAAATCTGGACTTTCTTGGGCTTTGGCTTAAGGAATTGAATACATTTGATCACATGCATGCCAGATCACTAATGATTCACCTCTAGGTCTTGTAAGCAAAGCACACTGCTCTTTGGCCTTCTAATACTTCAGAGCTCATTAGAGTCTTACAGAATCAAAAATGGCCTGTGCCTTGGTGATGTTTTGAATTTTTTCTCAGATGTTATCACCAGATAGTTCACTACATAATTCCATGAGTGTGGCTCCCTGCATCAGTGTGGAGTTTGCAGGCCCACTTTATGTACAACCTAAGGCAGCCATTGCTGATCTTACTTCTTGTTCCATAGTTCGATAAGAAACATAGATAAGCAATTTCCATGGGTTAGTCTTTTCTAAAAAAATCAGTGCAAGAATGCTCACCACAAAAGTAAATAAATTGTTTAAAATCTAAGGAAAGTTGGCATCTATATTACTAAAGCTTATCTTTCATTGGTGTGATGTTGCTGTTTAAACTCGTCATTGGGGGCTTTTCCTACCAATTCTGGTTTTCTTGACTTGTCAGTCTTTTCTACAGGGATTACATATGTGTGCTTTGTATGTAATTAGATAAGCATGTTCATACTCATGCCTTAAATGAATGAATTACTGAATTAGTGACAGAGTGTGTGTTAACTATGAAAGTGTTTTAGTCATTGGGGAAAATAGTCAACCTATAGAAAGAAGAGTATTGTGATAAACTAGTGATGTGTGCAGTGAATAGTAAGACTTACTATATTCTTTTGTAGCATACATTTTCAAGAATGGTAACATCACTAAATATAACTTGTAATTTTGAAAAACAGCTCATAAAGTTCACCCATGATGGGTAAGCATCTTATGTAGACTACCTAAGATATTTTGCTGAGAAAAATCTGAATGCTAGAACTATATGTAATATAGGTACAATAGACATAGATAACACATTGGGAAGGAGAGGAAGAAAGGACTCCTTGAAGTGATAATATTTGCATTTTGAAAAAGTTCTTAGAAAAGGAATGAGAATAAGCAATTAATAAAATATCATTCCCCTGGAGATAGGAGAAAAATGGGGGTGGGGAGGGAAGGTCGGGTACGGCACGCTCTTAACTTCCAGGTGTTTTATCTGCATTTTTCAGGAGATAATGAGACTTTTTAAAATAGTTTCATAAGACTAGTGTATTTTATCCTTCTGTATGAAAATAGATGTTAAGACAATAGACAAAGGTTCAGCATTTTTATTCCAGCAGAGTTGTATACAACATTAGAAATGATTGCCTCAGTGTTTACCTGTGCTGCATTCTAACACACACACCCTATATATGCAGTCATTTTAAAAAAAAAATCCAGGAAGAAATACATCTGCTTAGGGCATTTGGTTTGAACTTACAGAACAAAATATGCTGCCCTTTCGCCATGGTACATAGATACAAAACATGACTGTGCTGTGAAGCCATTAAAAACACACCACCAGAGCAAACTGTCAGTGTAATCACACATCGACTCACTGCGTAATACAGATCTGATTCCCAGCCCCAGAAAGCCAGGCCCTGCTTTAAGCAATAGCAAAGTGCCTTCCATCTGTCTGCCTATGCAATCTGCCAGAAGAGAAATGCAGGCAAAGACGTTCCCCAGACCTGAAATGCTTTTATCTGTCCTTAGAGAGAAATTTCTTCCAGTCTTTGATATTAGAACGATCTACACTAGCACGGAGGAGGTAAAAGGCCGCGGGTTGCTTTTCCAGGAGCGGTCGGTAGTGCTAGCGAAGAAATGTTGATTGAGAAAATAGGGCTCCTTGCAATGCTGCTGCCTTGGCTGCTCCTGCTGCTTCTGTCGCTGCTCGGTGGCAGGCGTGGGGCAGTTGGCTGATCACTGATGCATATCAATAACCATGTACTTGAGATTTCTCATGACATCATCATTACCTTGGTCTCCCGCGGTCTGGAGCCTTTGACCTTGCCAGGCTGGTCCACAATTTGGCAGTGAAAGCCCCTCCAATGATGGCCCTTTTCTCCTTCTTTCAGACCGGGGGCAGCAGCACACCAGCAAGACGGCATCTGTCTTCCCCAGCCTAGAAGCCCTGTGAAATCGAGGATCTTCCCCCTAAAACACTCACATACAAGATATGTGCAATCAAGCTGCCACCGCTTGGTAAAAAAGCTCGTGCTGCCTAACCCAAAAGGATCAGGAGCCGATCCTTGAATCCGCGGTCACTTCTATAGAACGGGATTTCCCCCCCCCCCTTCCTCCTTAACCTGCGCTGGAAATTGCCGTTGGCTTTTTACATCTCTATAGAGGAAGGCTAAAGAGTCGTGCGTGAGAACGAAGCAATTTACAATGCAAATAGAGGCCTCAGAAGGGATGGCTGCTGCTGCTCACTCCTAACAGCTTGCTGCACCTTAATAGCTGGTTTTATTTTCTGATATTAATAGATGAATTGTTGGCTAACACTGCCGGAGATTACTTGCTGAAAGGGGGAAAAAGTTCGGAATAAACTCTGAAGGCCACAGATCTCATTTGGATGTTTTAGCCCCACATATACAAACAGAAACCAGGTCATATTTACATAAAAGGAGGAATCTGAAGAAGGGCAAGTGTCCTGGATAACTGACTACTCACGGTGGCAGCTCCGGAGTCTGGTAGGAGGAAGACAGAGGTGCATGAGGGAAGCGAGTTGTTATCTTTGGTTATCTAGCTGTATGAGTGTATTGGTCTTCATAAAGCTAGATAACCGAAAGTAAAAACTCCTTCAAGGTCGCCGGGCAGCGTGAGAATGAAAGACTACAACCAAGAGACAGTAAAAACCGGAAAGGTCAGGAATACTTATTGAATCTAACTTTGTTTTTGTTTTTTGTTTTGTTTTTTGCTTTTTCCTTATAAGAGTAAAGGTGGGATACAAGGAAATTAAGCGACACAAGATGCTGAAATTGAAAAGTGCCAGGGTTTGGGGGAGGGTTGTTAGGGCTGTAAAGAATTGTATAGTGCTCAGGGTAAAGATGCATGTACAATGTGTTCTGTTTTAAGGCCAAAGTTTATATACGAGGGATTTTTTTCTTCTTCTTAGCTGTTGTAGAGATTTCTGACAACTGGTTTAAAAATGATTCCATGATTATGTAGGCTTGGGCAGTTCCCCTCCGAGGCCCCTCCCCCCCAATTTGAAGATTGTGCTTGGAAACTACTTTAAATGTATTTGGGCTAAATGTCAAATGCTATGAAATTAGACTTTCAGAAAAGTTTATCCTGGAAAGTTAATAATTTATAACTATTGAGGACTCAGCAGTAGCAGGGAAAATGAAAAAAAAAAAAAAAAAGCAAAGGCTGATTTTGATTCTTCTATTCAAAATACAAGGACAGATGCTTCTCTGTTCCAAGAGGGTTTCCTTGAGGAAGCTACTGAAGCAGAAAGACATGATGGAGACGAGATCGCCTCCTCTCTTGTCAAAGTGTTAAAAAAATGTTCTGTCTTACTCTGCGCCTAGCATTGGAAATGAAAGTGACATTTACGCCAGAACCCACGTGGGCGCCTCCTCTCTTTTTGTTTAAGGATGATCAGGTCTATCCAGGAAACAGCTCTGGCATCCCAAACTGAAATAATTAGGACGTATATAGACCTGACAAAAATGGAAAGGGGGTGGGGAATCGCAGGGTCTGTCTTGCCTAATTGATTCCGCTAAACGGAACGAGGAGATGTGAACGGCGGGACGCTCCGATTCCCACGCTCGGGGGCAGGGGGTAAGGCGGCCGGCAGCCTATGACAGACAGCCCTGTTGGAGGGTAGGGTATGAAAAAAACATCCAGTGCACACACCATACTCAACTCCACCGCTTAAGAAGGTAAAGGCATTTCCCACCCACAGACATCTGCAGGCTCCCAAATGGCAGCGCCAACTGGTCTGCTTGCTGCTCGCTGGTTTTTTTGTTTTTTTGTGTTTTTTTTGAACCGCTGTTTAATCTGCTGGCCAGGATAAAGTTTGGCTTCTGAAGTTTGGTTGAGATTTTTCAATATGTAAGGAGACCTGGTAGAAAATGATTCCAAGAAAGTCCCATCATGCCCGCCCTGGGAGACATCCTTGGTCTGGCCGGGGGCCTGGTGAACACCCTTTCTTTCGAGTTTTTGTTTTGGCTGGGGTATACTTTCCAGTACACAGCTCGGTGCCACAGTCTCAGTTATGACTTCATCAGCTTGTTTACCTCTTAATGTGACACGCAGAGGAGCGAGGCGCCCGGAAGCTAATTGATGCCTACTAGAAGTGAAACTGTAAAGTCATCAGCCCAGAGAGAGTGGATTACAGTAGCAGGGTGAGAAAAGCTCGTTTTGGAGTAGTCCCAGCTGGATGCACTCTAAACGGCCATTTTTGTTTAATTTGAAAATAACTACGCCTGGCATACACTTTGGGGTTATGAAGGTCCGCACTGCAACCCCTGAAAGTCTTTACATTGGGCCACATCACCAAGCCAACATTTGTATGGGCATTGACACATAAATACAACCACTGCGATGAGAAAATGACTGGAACAGCCTACGACCATCCACAGGGCCTAGATTACTGACACTCCCAACTAGCCCACCACTCTTCAAAGGCAGTCCATTTCCCTTTGTAGCTTCTACTCCTGGTAAGACTTCAGACTGGAAAAGCCAGTAAAACCACTGTTAATTTCACTTAGAAGCTCAGAGAGACTTTAATAAGGTAAATTCTCTGTTTGGCTGCTGAACACGCGCCAAAGTTTTACTACCCTGGTGACCATTGTGAAGACCCTTGTTTATTTACATTTGAAGCACTGTTTGTGCAAACAACCTTTCCTTGTTAAGTGCCTGTATTTCTTTCATTTACTTCGTGTCCAGGGGTGCTATTTACCTAGAAGCATTGTCTACTACAATTACATTTACATTACAAAGTGTGTGGTTTTTCTTTCTCAAGGAGGTTCAATTAAGGCAATAAGATGTTTGCTGGGGAAACCTATTGTTTACTGAAAGCACTCAATGGAGTCAAATTACTGAAGCTTTTTGCCTACATCTTGGTCTTTTCTGTAAATATGTGAAATATAACATCTAAGGAAAATAAACAATATTATAATTACGTGTTTGCCATTGTCATATCAACCTTGCTTTGTATCATACTAATGTTGCATAACTTATCAATCAATAAAAATACATTTCAATGTTCTTTTCATTTTATTTTTTGCTCTTGCTGCAACATGTCCCAGTTTTTTCTTTTTTTCTCTTTTTGATTACACATCAAATTTCTGACATTTTATTTTATTTGTGTGTGTTGAAGAGAGTACCGCATCTGAGCTTGGGGGTTGGGGGGGTGCTGAGATAATCTCTACAATGACCTTATAATAAGGTGATATTTCTTTGAAATCTGAAATATTCCAAAGGCATGTACCTTTAAGTCAAAAGAAGTGTAAATATCAGTTAAGTAGTTCTTTGAAAGCTAGTTTTTAACATTGGCAGGAACCGGATCAAGTTTATTTAGCATACCACTGCATTGTAAAGCAGTTGGAGTGAAGTTGCAGGTTGCGTGAGTAGGCATGTTAACTAGTGGGAACGGAGCGCAGTCTTTGTGAAGGGAGCAGCAGATTGCCGTGCAAGGCCAATGTTAAAAAGGCAGCTGAATTTAACACCATCTGGAAGAAAAGATCCCTTCACGACTTTCTCACACCGTCAGACAAAACTAGTGTCTCTTGTTCCTAGCCCTTGTCTATGCAACCATACAATACTGAGTCATTATACTTTTGCTGAGAGAAAATTTGAGAACACAATATGGGTAACCAGTGAATGACCAAGTTTCATTGTGCCCGCTTAAGTCGATTGAAATCTACGTCTAGAGCTATGAATGGTAGTATTGTTTTCCTCACCAGGGCTGTACTAAATGTCAGCACAGTGTAAAGAAAAACTTGAAGTCTGCAAATAACTTACCAGATCTCAATTATAATATTTTCCCACACTAGAACTAATATCATTGCGAGGGGGCTACATTGCCGAAAATACAACAACAACAAAAAGCAACAAAAAGAAATAAGGGAGTTCATTAGAAGTTATTTTATCCAGACAAACATTTTAATTTTCTGATGGGAACGTCAATGCAGGCTGCAGGCTGCAGGCTCAGTGGAGGACTGGGATTCATTACTTGGAAGTTCAAGTTACAAAAAATGCACCTTGTGCAATTAAAATAGAATAAAACAAACACCTACTTCTACCTGAAACCGTCTCTTATTAAATATCTACGGTCTCCACTTGAGTTTTATCGCTGAAGTTCTGCTTAGAGTTGTTGGTAGGGATCTAGCTTAAATTTGCTTTCAATTTGGGCACACTACTCTCTCAAAGTTTGGCACTGTGATTGATCGACATTGGAAAAGAACACCATAGGCGTACGTTTCCAAAAATACACAAGAGCCTTCTGGCACCTCCCTGGGTAGATTCTAGTGCCCTGAGAAATATGCTTCCCCTTTTATGTTCCACCCCTCCATTTCCTTTCTTTTCCCTCTCATCATGTGTATAAATCAGTTATCTTTAGGGTTAACATTCTATTTGACTGTAAACAGTCAGAAAAAGGAAACAAAACAGTTCAAGAAGAGGAAAAGGAGTTGGTTGTGTATGTTTTATTAGGATGTCTATTTTAAATATAATTGACTTTGCAATTTTGTTATCGTGTCACCAAGTGTCGCATAGTTCTTAACATGTAAGTGCAAAACAATGAGTAATTGCTGTTTTGCTGAATAATACATTTGAGTTGCCAACGTCAAAGGTATTATTTTGTGTATTTCTAAACTGGAACGTTAACTGCAGGTTTTGACATCTAGAATCTTTTCTTGAAGTACTCATAAAAAGGATGATAAAAATGATACACTTAAAAGTAAACATAAAGCTTTAACCAACTTATTTTCCTTGTCCTACTTTGTGATACTAGAAAATTAATAGTGAAAAGTCACAATAATCAAATTTTAAGGAATACACCTTAAGCACAGAAAAAATTCAAAAGAAAAAAAAAGTAATTGGAGAGGTTAAAAAAATACACAAGAAGACTTCTGCAACATCTTTGCAGAATGTGAATGGGCATATTTACCAGACTGTCCCCTGCTCGTTACCCCTAATATGCATAATAATGAGATAAATGCATTATTTATATTCAAAATGGAATATTTTCCAAAGTGGCTTTTCTTTAAGTCTTCTTAAACACTAAAATTTGTGCTATTGGTGCTCTCTGTGTCTATTTTAAAATTAAAATGATTTTATTTGGAAAGATATGAAATTCGAATCTGATTTTGTGTAGTTTTATGAAAATTAAGCAACCATTTAAATAGTAAGAGATAAGGATGAGTGAATTTCAAGTTCAGAAACACTCTTCCAATTCACAGACTATACGTAAACACTTGAAGATATTTTAAGAATTTGGGCTTTTTAAAAATGGAGAAATGAACCCAAAGGATTGATTTTCCACTGTGGCTAGAATATGCATGAAAGTGCATGTAACTATCTAGGTTTTATCCCCAGTAGTTCTCTACCCCTCTGGAACTATCACTGTGGCTTAAGATACCCTTGTCCCACTTTCCCTTTCTGTGACTTACCTTTAACCTCCCTTTGCTAGAGTAAGTACAGTACCGCATCATCTCTCGCATTGGGGCGGATGCTGAGGGTGGTGGTGAGCTCAGCGACTAGGACAAGGTGTCCCTTTAGATTAAGAACTAATTGGAATCAAAGTTCCTGAGTAAAAGCTATCTGTAGTACGGGTCAATCGTTCTACCATTGTGCTTGCAGACAGTAGTGGGCATGTCAGGCAGTTTTTCAGTGTCTCTGGGTTTTAATGGATGGCTTTGTTACCCAGTTTTTTCTGTTCTGGGTTGCTTAGCACAAGTCACAGAAGCTGGTACAGGAGCGAGCAGAAACCCCCGCTCCCGTTTGCTTCCGGAGCCCATCTCCCCGCGGGCTCGCTCGGCTTTGGCGGAACTGATTCTGGGCGCCGAGTGGCGGTGGGGTGCCGAGGCGGGCGGGCGCGGGCCCCCGGGAGGTAGGGCCTGCGCTTTCCGCTCTGCACCCCGCGGCCGGGCCACGGGGGGCAGAGCATTTAAAAACTGCCGGGAGGATCGACTCGATTCCGGGAAACAAGGGGTGTGAGCCATATTTATTCCGGGAGAAGTCCGTCCCCGTGCTCGGCGGTCTGACTCGGTTTTAGCTCAGCGCCCGCACAACGCGGTCGGGAGATCTAAAAATAGCCGGGCGTGGGCGGACCCTGCGCCCGGCTGCGGACGCGCGGGGCCCGGTAGCGGCCGCGGCGCAGGCTCCGCTCGGCCCGGCCGCCGGGCAGCAGCACGACACCTCCCAGCGCCCGCCCGCCGCCCGAGTCCTCCCGCAGCTGCTCCCGCTCACCGCCCTCGCCCGGAATCCAGCGTCTGATTGGTGTTTCCCGGGAGACCGGCTGCTGGGCCGCGGCGCTGGTGCGCAGGCGCGCACTCTCCCGGAAAGGTGGGAGGGGCGGGACGGGGGAGCCGCCCGGGTTCGCGCGCACGTGTTTGTTCCCGCGCCCGCCGCGCGCCCCCGGGAGTCCGCGGGAGGCTGTCCGTGGCCTGGGGTGCGGGGCTACTCGGCTGCTCCGGGGTCTTGGAGCGGCCTGTTTCTGAGCCCCTTACCCGAGACCGCGGCCCTGCCCTCCCGACCCCGCCCTGGCCCGCGGGTGCGCGGACCGGGTGGTGTCGAGGCAGTCCCGCCTGGACGTGCATCCCCGGCACCACCTCCGGGGCGTTTCCCTGGGTGTCCTCGAGTGACTGATGAAGACCCCCCCCCCTCCGACACACACACCTAGGGATGCGATGCTCCTGGAGAAACCCTGGGCATGGGCACGGTGGGGTGCTGGGCCCGGGGAGCAGCAGCTCACCCTGATCTGGGCCCTTCAGGTCAGCATCCGCCTCCACCCCTACTGCCCAGTAGGAGCTCGGGGGCGCATCTCCTCTCCCATCAGATTTGCTGGAAATATTAATCTCCTTGTTGGATGGATACAGTAGAACTTGTTCGGAGATTACTTTAAAAAGAAAGCTGGGTCTTAAGCACTTACTAAAGCCAGTTAATAACATCATGCATGGACATTTAAACTTGTTGTAAGTTGCAGAGAGGATTAGCGGGAAGTCACGCTGCGCGCGGCTAATGATACCATCTTAACTCTACCCGGGCTAAATCCACCTCGCCAGCGCAGGTCCGGCTCCTCGGCCCTCGGGTGAGGCTAGGAAAGAGGGCGGACCCAGGAGAAGCCCCCCTGAGCCTCGCTTCAGGGGACGGTCAGTCGTCCTGGGAGGCCGCGGACGGGCGGTGTGCTTCTGGGTGGGCGCGAGCAGTGGGTGAGGCCCAGGCCTCCTGGTGTGCACGCACCCTAATCCGCGGGCTGTGCTTTAGTGGCACGGAGGGGACTCAGCCAACCTGCCTGAACAGTTTTGATTTTATTAACCTGAGGGTGGGCGAGGTCTGTAGGAAGCTCAGGTGAGGTTTTGGGAGGCCTTGACCTTGGCTTTCGTGGCGCTGGTCTGTTTGCATTACAAAGACTATTGACTTTCACTTCTACTCTTACAAAAGAAGTCAGGCCCAGAATTTCACAGGTACATTTCGGAGCGTGTTATTAACAACTTCTGTCACAGGCTTGCTCTACTAGTTTAGTTCCAAACTGATCACTGTTTTAAAGCAGTTTGTGACTACTTTACGTCAAGGCCAATTAGAAATAATCCTGGGAAAATGCTACAAAAATGCTGCGTTATTAAAACACTTACCTAACAATATTCATCTGGCTCTGTCACTAAGTAGTTATCTGACAGGTTTCTTGTGTTCTGAGTTTCTTTTAATAGTCACTTGCCCTGGGAAAACAAGGAGGATTTGACTGCATCTTGGCTCATGGCGTTATTTTCTTTAGTTTTAAATTTAAACTTGACAAAGCTGAAATGTTTGTGTCTTACATCATTAATAGCTTGTGTGGATTGGAAATGACTAGATGCTGATCACCTTAATAATTGGTGAAAACCTGTAAATAGATAGTAAAGGAACTACTTGAGATAAAGTTTGTATGTAACAACAACAAAAAGCAAACCAACAATAAACACTTTG